TTTCTGCCTTCATGGGCACACGCTGGTGTGCATGATGCCCTGCCATACCTGCTGGGAGCCAACAGCTCTGCTGCGAGCTGCAGAGACGGAGCTGCAACGAGGCAGCTCCCCTGGGGTTGCATCGGCTGATGCCTTTGGTTACGGCCTGCGATGGTGGGGATCAATGCAAGGGAAAACATGGGAATAAAATCTCAGCACGGTCACTGCCATGTCATAGCCAATAGCCTGCTCCCACTGTGCTCCATGAGGAGACAGCCCAGGACTGCAGCTTTCTCCAGCTGTGCTGGGCGAGGGAAGAAGGGTGGCTGTATTAGAGGGGTTTAAACTCTTCCCCACAGGTTCTCTGCATTCAGAAGCATGAGCCAGGCGGGTTGCAATCAGCTCCACAAATATTTATCGAGCACAAGCCTTCCTGAGCAGGGTCTGACGACTCTTTTCCACTGTGGTTGCTGCCAGCACCGTGGCTGTCAAGGCTGCTCTGGATGCTGCTTGTGGGGGCAATGACCAGCCCCTGCTTCAGAGAGAGCTGTGGTGGGATTTCCCCAGGGTAAAACAGTGCCTGTTTGGTGGCTGGTGTGGCAACACCTCTGGGTCCTGCAGGGGGGAGGTGAGCTGGATGGAGTTGGGTGGCTTGCTTTACCCTCCACAGCCTTCTGACACTGAATGGATGGGTTTCACCTGGTAATGATCCAGCTAATGGGATTGGGGATACCCTTGCAAAAGGGGGACGCAGAGGGGGCATTAGAGCAGGGTCTCATGCATGAACTTGCTCTGAGGAGGGGAGTGAGGGACTGAGGGTTCATCAGTCCCCATGAGGCTCAGCTGATCCATACTGTGGTTATTATCCCCTGCGCTGGAGGACAAAGGAACTCTGTAGTGCTCAGTCTCAAGAGTTGCCTATCCATGGGGTGCAGAGCTGAGCTGAAATGGGATTTGCTGAAATTCACAGTGCTCAGGTGCCAGTTCCTGGCTGGATTTGCTGTGGGTGCCTGTGTGCAGCATACGGGAGATCCTGCAAGTGCTCATCTGTGGCAGGCAGGAGCCATGCTGGGTGCCACTGTGCACCCTGCCCCTGCTCCCAGATGGAAATCTGTGCTGTTCTGGCCTATTCCAGAGCCTTTCTGAGCTGCTTGCTGCAGCGTGCTTCACAGACCCTATCTTGCCCATCTGCTCCTCTCCACGCAGCGTCCTTCCTAGTTTTTCCCAGTGGGAACCCTAGACACATGGGCAGTTAAATCTGTGTAACTAAAATGGGATTGGCCACAGTTTGCATGAAGTATAATATGTAACTTCAGTGGATATTCGGTGCTTTATAGGGGCTTGCCATCAGTGACTTCCTGTACCTTTCTCTTCCAATAAGCCTAAGACATTTGTCTCCAGGGGAAGTTCCTGGTGTGATGAAGCAGCAGTCAGTTTAGAGGAAACCTAACCAGGAGGAATCTCCAGAGCCACTGCTGTCAGGAAAGAGTTGATTTGGCTGAGTTTCACCCAGGGAGGCAGCAAAAAGCTCCCAGTTGCAGACCCTGTGATGCCACCTCTCACTCTGGCACTGGGCTAGTCATGCTAACCCTTATTGAGGCCTTTCAGTTCTTAAAAGGGGCTTATAGGAAAGATGGGGAGAGACATTTTAGAAGGGTCTGTTGTGATAGGATGAGGGGTGGTGGTTTTAAACTAAAAGTGGGAGATTCAGGCTGGATGTGAGGACGAAATATTTTACAATGAGGGTGGTAAAACACTGGCACAGGTTGCCCAGAGAGGCAGTGGATGAACCATCCCTGGAGACATCCAAGGCCAGGCTGGATGTGGCTCTGGGCAACCTGATTTGGTTGAAGATGTCTCTGTTCATTGCAGGGGGGTTGGACTAGATGTGCTTTGAAGGTCCCTTCCAACCCTAACTATTCTGTGATTTGATGATTCTATGCAGAACTGCTTCCATTGTAATCAAAACTTGGGTGTCTACTCTGAGCTAATTGTTAGGTCTCCTCCTGTACTCCACAGAAGAAGGTAAACACCTCCAGATACTGATTCATTTTAACAGCCTATCTGGAAAGAATTACTTCTTGGAGATCCTCTGGCCCTCACTAGATAACCTTGTAGTTTGCATGCCCGACTCTCAGGCAGCTGAAGCTAGATCAGCTGAACCTCACCCCTAGTTTCTTCTGTGCTTTTGCCTTGTTAGGTTTGCCCCTTCGTATGTCAATGGCTCTGTTTCTATAGCATAAAAAGGTCTGTACATCTGTGACCAGCCATTCTGCATCCACCCCTTGGACTGAATTCACCGTAAACTTCTTGTTCCTCAATCACCACAAAAAGACCTCCAAATCTGTGCGTTGGTGACATGAAGTGACACAACAGGGTGAAAAAATACCCAATGGGGAATGGGAAGAGTGAAGAAAACAAGGTAAGAATGTGCAGTGAAGACGATGGAGGTGGAAAGAGAGGTTGCAGGGGCAAAGCACATGCAGCTTGTGCCACCTGCATGCTGCTTGTGCTGGCTTAACTTGAGGGAGGAGGGAAGGGAGGAAGGCAGAACTTCACAGGCAGGTCCAGTTCAGGGCCACATTCAATCCCACTCGCAGCTGCCCAGCCCATGGACATCCCATTGACTTCGATCATGCTGAAGGTCACGCATGTGCTGGAGATGCTACCTGACACAGGCAAGAGCTCTCCTGAAGTGTGGCCACGTAGCACAGACCTCTCTTCAGCCTGGAAAATGTGATTTAAATAACATTGTGTCTCTGTTGGCAGAAATCAGTTTTAAGTGTAAGAACAACAGTGTGTGAGCTCATTTTCTGACCTGTCTGAACCCAAAATTAGCTACAGAGGTTCACAAGCCCTTGAACTTCATGAGGCTCATCCCACCTGAGCAAAGGAAAGCAGTTAGACCAAGAAGTCTGACTTAAATACACTGCCTGTCTTTTGTCTCCAGCTGTAGAGCCTGATGCTGTTTGTTCCCTCGCTCCCGTGTGTCTGCTTTCCCTCCCAGTGAAACCTCTGGCTGTAGGTGGGTCTTTCAGAGTAGCACTATCTTGCTGCATGCACCAGATTTTCACTGCAAGACGTGGTAGACAAAGACAATCCAATAACCAGGAATCACCTAAATTATTCATCAAAAGTTGTCCTTTCCTCTCTAATTTTTCATATGTAGAGTTAAGCATTTCTCTTGAGTATTTTTCTGTTCTCACACACGCCAGTCCAAGTACTACCAGTGGTGGGTCACCCATGCAGGTTGGCTGGACTAGGGTCTTCCCAGGGATTTCAAAGGGACACTGATCTTTTAACCTCCTCCACTGGGGTCTTACAACCAGTCCGTCCCACCAGGGAAGAAAACCTGGGGACCACCAGCGTGCTAGAGGAAACAGCAGCTTCCCCTGTCTCCTCAAGAGACGCAGGCTCTCTAACACCCTTTGAAATGCTTCTTAGGCTGAATGCCCATGAGCGGTGGTGAGTAGCAGATTGCCATTCGCCCTTTATCTGGCTGCAGATGCAGCAGTGTGTGGTGATGTACAGGTAGTAAAATGCTTTGTGAGCAGAGCAATGAAAGCCACTGTGAAAACACAGTAGGAGAAGCATTGTTAGTGAGGCAAGGCCCTTAGTGACATGATTTAGTGGTGGACTTGGCAGTCCTGGGGTAATGGTTGGACTTGATGATCTTACAGACCTTTTCCAACCTCACTGATTCTGTGATCCTATGGTATTTTCACTTGGCATCTGTCGATCCTTCCTAGCTGTAACTAGAAAGAGAAATGAGAAAATGATACCTCTGAAGTTTTATTTCTTGTCTTGCCTGCTATTTACCATGCTATATAAAGACCCGGTCTGGAGCTCCTTCAGTGTTCAAGTGCTTTAAACAAAGATGTGCGAAAGAGCTTGCAGGCTTAGGACCTATTTTCCTCACTTGTCTGTCTTAATTCTCCAGACAAAAGCAAGCCTTGGGAAATGAGTGCCAAAGCATTGCCTGTGACCAGAACGCAGTGAAGGACAGGTTAACGACAGGAGCTGATAACAAGCTGACTTTGCTAATTACTGTTTTTAAAGTCCAAAGTCATTGGAAAAAATGAGTAAAGTTACATTTTGCACATGGAGGACAAGAAGAAAGCACGCCGGAATGTCTGAGTCACTGCTCTGAGCACTCCTCATTATACACAGATAGAGATTTCATTCGCGGCGTTAAATAGTACAGATGTGCATGGACGCTTGGAGAAGCCCGATGGCTGTCATTATGCATGTTGTTTACCAGAAGATTTGGGCTGGGTGAGATGACCTAGTGGGCTGCAGTCAGAGGGCTTTATTTATGTATTTATTATTACTATTATTTGCAGGTGATTTTATTTGTTGTGCTAAAATTGGAGCAAAGTCTGAAACAAGCAAACTGAAATAGTACGTGACGATTTTCTTCCAGCCCTGATGTATGCACAGCACATGCCAGAGCGTGGCTCACCCATGTTTCATGCATGTGCACTTCACATGCTTCACCCGATGTGCCTTCTACCCTGTGTCTAGACAGTGCCTGGCTCAAAACCCTGTCACAGGCTTGGTCCCTTGGGAGGTACTCTAACACAGATCACAGTGCTGCTCTGTGTGTGTGTGTGCCACCCCGCTGCTGGCAGCCTAAGTGAAACATAGACACCAACTGCTTATCCAAGCTTCCCAGACTTGCACAAGTCAGGGCATGGCTGGACCCCAGGGATGCTGAGCCCTCAGTGAGGGGAAGCAAACCCAGGGAGGTCTGTCCAGTGTTCTGGTGTGTTTGAGTGGTGTGCTAGAGGCATGGCCACCTCTGCAAGAGGATGCTGCTCTGGTAGGTCCTGGACTGTATCTGGATAGGTGCCTCAAGTGCCCAAAGGAGCCTCAGAAGGTGGTAGGTACCTATGCACAGGTTCCCATGTATGTCCATGTGGGCTTCCTGGGCAGTTCCAGGGCAAAAAGCGTGTATGTTTTTGCTATGGGCCAAGTTTCCCACAGGGCACATGGACCAGGAGCTGGAGACCCAGCGCCAGTCTGCACTGAGAGGTGTAAAGATGCCCTTTTGCCGAGTGACCTCCTGGGATGCTGGTCCCGAGGCTGTGGGCAGAGTTCAATACCAAAGGCAGTGCCAGCCCCCATAATTGGGCACACTGATAGTGCTTTTCCTGGATTACCTTTGCACCCATGTGACTAAGCTTTCCCAACAAAGCATGCAAGCAATTAAGGAGCTGAAGCCTCATTAAACAAACAAGCCCACAAAAGGGCTTGTGACAGGTAGTGCTGGTGTCTCCAGCACAATTACCCGATAAACATAAGGCTTTGGAAAAATCCAGCTTGGAAAGGTAGGAGCTCAGTTGCATAATTCCTTTAATAAGCTGTTTTGTCATAGACCGTACCATAAACAGGACTGGGGGCAGGAGGATGGGAAGGAGGAGGAGGATGATGAGGAGGATGGAAGACTCCTCTTACCCTCCGCAGGCTGAAGAGGTAGGTTGTTTGCTGGGTGGTGACTAATACTGTTATCTATCTTTTCCTCTTTGAAGTGGTGATGTTTCATCTGTGGTTTGGCCTCTTTATCCTTTTGTTCAAAACATGCCCGTTTGCTTTCCCTTTGCATCCCAGGCCCCCAGGAAACAGTGGTGGAGACTGATGCCTCCTCAGCTCCTGGACAGAGGGCAACTGATGACCAGAGCTGCTAATTGTTGCAGGAAGAGGAAGAGACAGGCAATCAATTACTTGTGTGGTGCCCAAGCCCCATCAAATGTTTTAGGTGCGCTGGTGTCCCAGGGTGCTGGGTTTATCCCTCTGGTTCTGGCTTTGCACTGCATCAGGGTTTTTGTTTTAGAGCACTCATATTTTCCATCCTATGGTGGGGATGGTGCCTGCTTATTAGTGCGACTGTCACCCCAAGAGGGAGAGATGCACTCAGGCATCAGTAGTACCAACCAGATACCAGGCATCAGTAAGGCACAAGCTGGAGGTGCTCTGGCTGAGCTAGTGCTTTCCAACAAAGTTCTAGGGGAGGAGGGGGTGGGATGAGGGCATTGCTTGATGGTGACTGCACGTGCACGGACATGCCTGTACGTGTAGGAGCATCTCAACCTCTTGTGTTTGCACACACTTGTGTGGATGTTCAGCTAGCTCCTTGTGAGACAAGGTTTTGCCCGTAGTACACAGTGCTGGGAGGGTGTGCGGGCATGTGTGGGGTCGCTGGGTCCTCCTCCTGCTCCCCAGGGTGTACCAGAGCTAGGCAGGCCTGGATTTTCTTAGGGGAAAAAAAATCTTAACGGCTTAAATGACATAAAAAATGACCTGAAACAGAGATGAGCATGAAAGAAAGTAATAGGAGCTTTCTGGTAATGGCCCCCTGGAGCCTGGGTTGTTTTACGGTGACAGGTCAGTGCCATGAGGTGGGCAAAAAGGGAAGGAAGGAGGCCCCTCTTCCAGCTCCTGCCTCTTTTTTCCCCTTGGGAAGGTGCTGCTTTTATATTTTCCATCTGAACACTTTTTTCCCAAGCTCTAAGTGGGGGTCAGGGAGGGGGTTGGACTGTGAGCCTGGATGCAAAGGTGCAAACTCAGCCTCAGCAATGCAGACAACACCGAAGGAACCGCAGCTCCTCCTGCTTCAGGAGGGATAATTAATCCCCGGAGGTGGCTGCTGGCTGCTGTTTTGGGGAACCAGTTCACAAGTGAGGGACTAGAGCATTAAGGAGCAGCTATTAGAGGCAGCTGGGAGAGCAGAAAGGGAGGAAGGCTTGAATTTAAATGAGCATTTGAAGCTTAGGGCCGGAGCTGTGAGAGAGGAACGGAGGGGGGATCTAATCTTCAGCTAATAAGCACTGTCCTACCTCTGCCTTATGCCAGATGCCCAGCACCCCGCAGTAACAGTCTCCTTACCAGATGCAGAAGGGAAAAAAAACAAAGAATAAAAAGAGAACAGGGAAATTCTTGAGATTCTTTCCAATGGAAAAAATGCCTCCACTTATCACTCAGTGTCAACAGCGGCAGACACCTGTGTTTAAACACCCAGCCACAGTGGCAAGCCAAAAGGTAACAGAGAGCCTTCGCTTGCACGTCCCTGTGTGCATGCAAGAGGGACAACGGACTCAGGCACTTCTCCATCAGCCTGGAGGCTCTGCGGCCAGCATCTCAAAGCCACGTGAAGGCAAGCTCAGAGGTGGCAAAGCTGCCAGCATGCCGAGGTCAGGAAATGCCTGCAGCCTGGCTCTGCGTGTCAGGCGTTATCATGCGTTCCTCAGTCAGACTCTCACCTACTTACCCTTCCCTTCTCCCTGTCCTCCCTCAAACTCTTGCTTCATCCTGTGCAGTGGTAGATGCTGGTGCTCGCTGTTTTCACAGCCTGTGCGAGGGGCTCAGAAAGGGGGATGAAGAACAACGTGGGGTGTAAGCATTGGGATACTTATCACGCACTTCCCACCGTTTGGGGATGCAAGGAATCATGGGGATGCATGGAATCTACACTCTGGGGGGAAGCTATGTGCTGTTAGCGGCAGGCTTATTTGCTCTTGTTGGTGCTAATGTGTGGCCCCTCATGCCTACACACCTGAGCCACGTGCTGCCCATCTTCACCTCCCAGGAATGCCAGCCATCTCACATACTTGCTGCATGGGGATTCCTTGGTCAACCCAACAAAGCTCCTGCTCTTCCCACTACCCCATCCATCAGTCTCACTGCTAACCTGCGCCCATGAAGGTGAGGGCCTTAATAGACTTTCCCCCATTCCTTTCCCACTTCTTTCAAGTTCTTGTCCGTGAAAAATACAGAAGTTTTGGGGAAGGGGACCTCCAAGCGTTACAGCAGCCTTGTGTTTCCCAGGTCCTATGCAATGCTAAGGTGTTGGTAGGAAGGCATTACCATGTGACAGTCCAGTCAGGGGAACACCTACTTCCCATCCCTCAGTCCTCACCCATTTCCTGTGTGAGCTTGAGCAAGCTGCTTATCTTCTACATTAATTTCTTAATTAATGCTTAATTTCGGCTTGATTCCTATATGTGAAGAACGGAAATGGGTAAAGCAAAATCTCTGTGCACAAGCAAAGCAAAACAGACAATTCATTTATCACTTCCCATAGTCAGACATGTTCAGCCATCTCCTGGACAGCAGGGCTCCATCATGTCTAATGGTTACTTGGGAAGACAAACAGTGTCACTCCAAATGTTCCCCCCTCTTCCCTCTTCTCCCAGCTTTATATGTTGAGAATGACACTATATGGTCTGGGATATCCCTTTGGTCAGTTGGGGTCAGCTGTATGCCTGTGTCCCCTCCCAAATCCTCATGCACCCCCTCTGCTCATGTGGGGTGGGGTGAGGAGCAGAAAAGGCCTTGACTCTGTGCAAGCACTGCTCAGCAGTAACTAAAGCATCCCTGTGTTATCAGCACTGTTTTCAGCACAAATCCAAAACACAGCCTCCTACCAGCTACTATGAAGAAAATGAACTCTATCCCAGACAAAACCAGCACACTTGATTAAGGTCTGTGCATCCCACAGCATCTGAGTCAGCAGGACGGAAACGTTGGCTCATGCCTGCCTCCAAAACCTGGTTCATCCTGAATGGTGCTTTTTACCTGTTACAGCAATGCAGACGCTCCAGAGGGGAATGTATACATGTGGTGGGTTGAAACATCCTCTAGAAGGAGATGTCCTTTCCCAGCACGTTTTACTGTTTAAAGTGGGACTCCTGTGGTCCAGCCCCACCACGCAGACAGAGGAGTCTCTGTTGTTTCTGTTTGCTAATAGAGTTGCTAACAGCATTGCTGTACCATTTGGACAAGTGATTTTTTTTCTCACGTTAGCCAATGTTTTTCCCTGTGATCAACCCACTAAGCAGCGTCCGCTAAGCGCTGCATAATTCAGCATCATTTGGTGCCTGTAATGCTACAATTACTCTTCAAGGCTCATTTGCTTCAAGGTCTTCAGGCTGTAAAGTTATGGGAGTGTGGTTAGTGGATTTTCAGGAATGTCTGCTTTCTGGCAGGGGCTGGAGAAGGAAGGAACCGAAAAGAAATGCATGCAAATTCAATGACATAGCAGGAACTTTAGAGGCATTTCAACACAGTGATACCCACAGGCAAAGAAATCATAATTGTTCAGGGGAAATAAGGCCTTGCCAATCCTATGATTTTATCAGGAGTCTCATAATTTCCAGAGTGTCCTTAAAAGCCCAGCTGCTGGAGTCATCCCATTGTCAGGGAGCCTCAGCTTCCTTTTAAATGAGAAGGAACATTTTCAGCCCTTTTCCCCTCCCTTTTTTTCCCCAGAGAAAACCTTGAGAAAGTAAAATATAGACTCATTGAATCATGGAATATGCTGAAGGTTCAGGAATGGAAAGGAAAGAGGACCCAGGTCATATTAAAAAAGAAGCAGAAACCAACACAAAAATGCATGATCAAATCCCCGCTCACTCAGGGGTTTGGTTTTTGAAAGAACTCAATGCCAAAACCAAGCCCATTGCCCTTTTTATCTGGACATCTGATTTGCAGACACTTGTGCTTGGCTGTTCCAATATTGTGTGCTTGCCTTGCAAAGGCTCCGGCAGCCTTTGGTGACTCCGGGATGGGGCAGGAGGAGATGCTGAGGCTCAACCCTTACTCTTTTTATGTCTTTTCTCCCTGTTTGCACCTGTGACTTGCAGTTCTGCAGCTCCTGAGGGCATTTTCAGCCCTTAAAGTGCACGTGTCCCGGCACAAATGCTTCCTGCTTTGTTACTGGTGTAGGTGTCTGGCACATGGGATGAGGGTGCATGGGATGGCTGATGGAGGACATCAGCTTCACCACTGCTGGTGAATTTGGTGAGACTTGAGAAGGGCTGACCTCCATGGGGAGGCTTGAAGGTGCTTTTGGAAGGTTGGCCATGCCTTGCCCTCTGTCACGGCTGTGTAGTTAAAACCATGATAGGCACAGGCAAAGGCTGAGGGATTGTAACTCCCTGGTGTTGTGTGAACGAGGTCAGGTGAGGGGATTGAAAGCCACTTGCAAAGGCATGGTTATGCTTGCAGGGTACCTGGGCCCTTCATTATGTGAGTAATCTTCCTGAGCGGGCTTGTGCAGATACAAGCAATGAGTAAGTGCTGCAGGGTCATGTCTGCAAGAGGAGCGTAGGCTTGAGGGCCAGCCAAAGCCTGCACATGGATGTGGAGGAGAGGCAAGGGAAGGAGAAAGGCAGGTGAGAGCAGGGCAAAAGGAGTCTGCCTTGAGCAGAGGACATTGCTTGCCTTTCCTAGGAGGGCCCTTATAAAGATCAGGGGTGGGATGCCTGAACTGAAAGTGAAGAGACTGCCTTTTCTTAAGCAATGCACTTCTTCATTCAGAAAACAGCACTGGGCTTTTTTGTTAGAGGCTGTGAGCCTTTACAGCACCTTGCAGCAGTACTGTACGTGCCCTCATTCCTCAGCGAGGTCACCCGAGCAAGTCTGCAAGTAAATATAGCCAGGGATGGGAAAACATCACGTTCGTTGAAGTTTCACCCGGTACTGGATCAGCACACAGCGTTTTCAGCAGTTATTTTGAGCATGTTCGGGCTGAACTGGGCTTCCTGACTCCTGGAGGCAAAAAACAAGCCTTGTCACAGGGTTTGTTCTGCTTCCAGCAGGCTCGTGGCAGAGCAAGCACAATGCTGCTTTCCTCCAGCCTTCTGAAATAGCCCTTTGGCTAACCAAGAAGCCTCCCCATGCATGGAAGCTGGTGACTCCTGAGGAGCTGTCAGGTGTCACAGAGGAGGTACATGTGTGGGGCTCTCTCCCCAGCCTTACTGTTGGTCCAAAATACAAATCCCAGACTTCCAGCGTGGATTTCCCTCTTTTGGGAAACATGAAGAGTGTCAGTTCTGCAGGCCACTGATGGAGCTGGAGCTGTTGTGATGCGAGGAGCTGTTCTACATGCAAACAAGGTACTGCAGTCTGAGCCCTTTCCTGCTCTACCTCTGAGCCAGCAGCTCTGCAAACACCCAGTGCTGTGAGGGGAGGACTCCTGCACCCTTCATGCAGCACTGAGCTGTGATCCCCTTTGCTCTTCATACTTCAGCGGAGTCTGTCTCGCTGCCTGCATGGCTCTGCCAAAGGTTTGGGTTCATAATGGTGCCAAAACGTCTTGCTGAAAGGGAAGAGGGCAAATATTTCTGTTTCTGAAAGGATGCACGTTACTGCTGACAAGGAGTGAACTCTTTCTTTCCATAGACAAAACCCCAACCGTCTGTTCTGGCTCTAAACTTCAGCCTAAGGAAAACAGCAACACATCAGGAAAGCAGAGTTTCCTGCAGAAATCCCAGTGTTTGTCTGTCCGGTAACTGAGTGCTAATTCCAGGAATAAACCAGCTGCTATCCTTGCACACAGGCCGTTGTCTTGGAATGTAAAGAGGAAATGAAATAGGGAAAGGCAGGCTTTGTAACAACAACAACAAAATGAAATTAAAACATCATGTATAAAAGCATGCCGAAGGTAGAGAGAAACAGGGGTTCTCACTCCATGAAGTGTTACATGATTGCTCTATAGGTCAGCAAATACTGCAGGTGAAACTATGGAACCTCTGAAGTTGATTGTCAAAGTTTGGAGGCTGGACCTTTCTCACAGCCCGAGCTGTACATGTGTAAATGCTTAGGCTGCTTTCATGCTGTTCGTGGCAGAGACGGAGTCCCTGTCCGTGGAAGAGCAGAGCCTGAGGTGCAGCCAGCACTAAGTCAAGGTGTTCCTGCAAAAACAAAGTCAGAGAGACTTCAAAGTGTAGGAAAAAATGATCATCAAGACAGTTTCAGTTACTGATTGTGTTAAAACAGAGAGACCTGCTTACGTGGGAACTTGCACAACCCCCATTACTTTGTCATCTTGATGCTTCATCATCTTTATTGAGTTCTTTCTTGAGCAGCCCTAGGAGATGCAGCTCTCTCCTGGCACAGGTGAAGAATATAATGAGAGTGATTTACTGACATCCCTTAGCCTGGCTGGTCTTGCCTATAAAAGCCCTTTGTCTTCAGCTGGGGCTTAGAACTGCTGTGAGACCTCCTTCTGGTTCATCTCTCTTCTATCCCTGTTTCTTCCTCCCATCAAGAGCAAAATGGCTTCCTCTGTTTAGTAGTGATGATGAGCAACCCTGAAGAGCAACATCTTGAGGTAACCCCAAATGGCTTTTAGTCATGCTGGGCTGCTTCTTGCTGCAGGGGCCTGTGTGCACAAGAGTTGCTTCTTAGCTTCTCTTTGCTATGTCTGCTTTACCCTCCCTTCCTGTACTCCAGTTTTCTTCTGTGAGGCTCCTCTTTTATTCTCTCTGCTCTGCTGCTCATCCCCACTGATGTGCATGATGCCCATGGTGGAAGGTGTCTGTTGTCTCCACCTGGAGCACCTTTGGGCCCTGCTGGTATGCCCTCATTTTGCAGGAGGCTCCTCTCCTTGCCCATGCAGAAGGCACCAGGCCTCTTCGTGGTGTGACACTGACCTGTGTGCATCAGAAAGCAGAATGGCTCTGGAGAAGGGGTTGCTTTGGACCAGCTGAGAAGCTGCCATCCCTCAAAAGGCTTAAAAGCTCCTGTTGTTGGATCTACAAGGGCTTTAGAGTGCATTTGCATCTTCTAGATTGCTAGAGAAAAACAATCTTCCTCTGTCCTTTTTGCCTTTCCTGCATTTGGAAGATGCCTGGGGAGGGAGAAGCTGTGTTCCTAGCTGTGCGTGATGCTCCCATGGCAGGAGGTGGGAGATCACTGACTTCACAGTGTCTTTTGCTTTACCTCCCTGCAAAGTGCCACCACTGGTGGGGAGCAGGGCTGGGGCAGCCCGCTGGGATGCTTTGCTCTCTGTTCCTCTCTCCTGGCAGCCTGCTGACTGTATGGGAACAATGGGATGACGTGACCAGAGCCCTGTAAATACTAGTTCCCCTTTGAGGCTGTCGCACCGAATGGGAAGTGCAGACAGCCCCAGAATAGAAATTCAGTCCTTGCCCTGCTCCTCAGCAGAGGTTGCTCCCAAATAATGCCTCCTGCCAGACCCCTCCTTGCATGGCTGAGCCACTCTGCCCCTCATGTTGTTCTCCAGGCCCATAGGAAGGTCATCTCCTACCTGGGGCAGGCAGGGAGGTGGTTTCTGGGGCATGCCTTGCCCTGGCAGAGCTGGGGCTGGCAAATGATGTTTCCTACAAGGATGCAGACGCATTGGGAGGGTGGCAGGAGCCTTGGGAAGCTGAACCAGGAGGTGACACTGGTTTTGAGGACAGGTCACAGAGGGGAGGCTGTGCTATGCCTATGTTACCTCCGCTCTGAGGCGGGCTGCTTGTTGCCAGAACTACAAGTGTCACATTGACCCACCAGCAACCTACCCTCTCAAAACTCATTTTCCCTTTTGCACTGAACAGCAGGGTGCTAGCACATGAACTTACCATTGCTGATGGGCTGCTGATCCTTCTGCAACATGTTTCCTGGGACATCTCTTGAAATCAATAGACCATTAGGAAGTACCCTGTAAGGAGTGAGGTGTTGATCCAAGTGAGGATGCACCCCGGGTGGAAGGTTTGGATGCGTCAGCTGAGTTGCTGCTAAAGCAAAGCATTCATGCCTGCTCCCTTTAAACCACTCTGAGTACTCAGAGTAATCCCCTTGCTCCCTTTGCTTGTCCTTCATATTTAGTGTATTTGCAGTTCCTGTGAGTGTGCACGCTGCATTTCAATGAGGCTTCAGTCATCATGACCTGCTGCTCCTTATCCTGCAGGCCAGCACTAACGTGACAGTGCTGGATTTTGGATGTCAGAAGATTAACTGGTGCTGAGCATGTGCTGGTCAGTGTTGCAGAGACAGCACTGTGCAGGTCAGTGATGCTGGGCGGGTGCAGAAGCGTGGTGGTGCAGCATGGCATTGCATGTGGTCTTGAGGACAGCCACAGCCTTTGCAGGGAAATCCTTTTGTCCCCCAGGCTTTGACTGGCTTCTTGTAAAATGAGGGTAATGGGTCTCTGTTAGGCTGAGCTGTTTGGGGTAGGTACCATCACCTTGTCTTTGTGCAGTAACAAAGCCCCTTACACTGGGAGTGAAGTGTTACCTGCAGCACTGGCCTCTGGTACAAAGGCACGAGCCACGCTGTAGCCAGAACCAAATCTTTGGTGTTGAATTCAGTAGAAAATGCTTGGGCTGGGAAAGGGCTCACAAGAGACAGTTACAGGAACAGTGAGTGTCCCAGTGTCTGCAGATGAGTTCCTCCTCTGGGTGAAGAGGGATGTGATGATGCTTTCCTGGGGGCATAGGTTGGCTTTCTAGCTCAGTGACTCATCAAACCACGAAGTTTCTTTGAAGACCGATGCATAGCTGGGCTCCAGGCATGCAGATGGACTTTGGAGTTGTAGGTATATCCTCCTCTGCCGGCCTGGCTACCTGATAGTGTAGCAGATCTTGCCTCTACCTGCCTTGAGTCTCTCCATCAGTGTCTGTATTGCTCTAGGGTTTGCCAGGTTAGGAGTTCAGAGGGCTGGGGGCAGGCAAACATCTTCCCTTTGTCCCACTGATATGTTTTAGCAGTTTTGTCTGGTATTTCCTAGAGTTAGCTCTGAGCAGCTAAATGGAAGCAAAAATGCATAAGCCTACATGGAGGAAGAGTATTTGCTTTGGTAAACCCCAGCCTGGCTTTTTGGATGGCTCCAGGCAGCTCTTTAAAGACCTGTTTCTAGGGGCTTTAAAAATGAGGACATCCTGAGCTCAGCTGCAGAGGACATAGCTTTGCTTCACTTCCCCAACTGTCTTCTGTCTCTTCCCATTGCTGTTCTTTAACTTCGGCCTTGCCACCTCCTGACTGCTCTCCAAGAAGTGCAGTAGATAACATGCTGCTTTCTTCTGCAAATCGTGCTGGTACCTACTGGTGAAAACACTCTTTCTACTGTACTGCTGGGAGGGGAAGGATTTTCTGCCTTGGCACTCAGGATCTGCCAGGCTTCCTTTGCATATGTAGGTAGCCAGGAGGGTCACCAAGCTTGTAAAGTTTCAAAATGGGAGCAAGGCTTCCTGATGTTTCCAATAACCATCTCTAATCATTATCTTAATCAAAGGAGAAGGGATTGAGCTTGTTACTTGTGTGAGACCTGAAGGTGTATCTAGCTTTCAGCAAGCAGTTTGTAGGAGAGTGGCCCCCTGGCAGTTAGGCTGGGGTAAAGGAACACATCGCTGCATCCTCTCATGGCTGTGTCTGGAGTTTGCCAGTTACAACACAACTTACTCTCGGCTGTAATTGTATTCTCAATTGCCCATATTTCAGTGCGTATTTCCAGCTTCCACCATGCAGGAGGTTAAGTGTGAAATGCTGAGTGTCTTCTCCCCTGCACCCTCAAGGTGATGAGCAAGGAGCAGATCATCTGAGGAGGAACAAAGGAACACTTGGAGACAAGGAGATGTGTTTTCACATTGTTTCTCAGCTGAGATTGGAGGAGAAAGGGCAGAGCCCGAGCTTCTGTGTAACATGGTGATCTGCCAAGAGCAGTGGCAGCAGGGAACTGCATGGCTCAGGAATCTGGGTAATGGGCTATGTAAGTCCTTCACCTCTGGGCTCAGTGTTCATCCAGGCACTGGCCAGCAGTGAGGAAATAATGTTGCTGCGCAAATAAAAGGACTTGCTGCTTCTCTAATAAGCCCTGTTCCTGCTGTGGCTCCTAGCAAGTGCTTGGGGAACCAAGAACTTGTTCTGGCAAGACTGTTGTTGCTCTGTTGAAAATTACCAGGACAAATGGCCCCAATTAAACCAGCTGAAACTGGTGTGCCCTTGTGACCTGGGCACACAGATGTCTTCTCCTCTGTTTGCTGCCAGATGAGGAAATGTGTGTGCTCAAGAGAACTGATGGGCTGGATATCAAAAAGCACTAACCGGGTGAGCTGGCGAGGCAAGTAGTGAATGGAAGAGTGTTCATATGGGCAGATCAAACCTTGTCAGTTGTAGCTGGGAGTCTGGAGAATACTCCAAGATTCCAACCAAGTCACTGATGGTCCTTTTGTGGGGAAAAAAGATTACTTTCATCATCAAATGTTGATGGAAACCACTTCACACTCTTGTTACTGGTACCTTATCAAACTGTTGTGTGGGATCCTGGAGAAATCTGCTCCCAAGATGGACAATTCCCTAGCTGAAGGATCAGCTGGCTTGACGTTCAGAAAGAGGGTGGTATAAAGACCATTTGCTATTCAGGAGAGCACCAGGGAGTGCTGAGAAGGTGGCATATGCCTTTGGTGACTTTGTAGGCATCAATGGTGACAAGGCATAAAGCTCCCTGAGCAAGGCTGCAGTTCGCTGGAGGTATGACAGTGCCAAAAGATTGGTCAAAGTATGACTGCCTCAGTGGCTGTGGGTGAGGATTGTAATGATGGGCTTGACCGCAGGAGAAGTGTGAGACAGACTCGTGCCTGAACACTGATTTGTGTCAAGAGACATTGGAAAACAAATGTTCAAATAACCACTGATGGAAAAACCTACAGAAGGATGCTCTGTAGCCCTCACATGGGAGAGTAGTTAAGCGACTGCTTCACTGATGAGGCTGGCCTAAACGGATGCTTGCAGGAAAACTGAGGAAAAACTTTAGGAAAGAGGTTCAGGAAGAAGACATGATTGAAGATGAGCATAGATCCGAGTTTTTCTTTCACCTTAATCCATCTTGATGTAGTAGCCTGCCTGTGAGCAGTCTTTCTTTTCACTGGGCTTAGAGCAACCTGGTTTCTAGTGGAAAGTGTCCGTACCCATGGCAAAAGATTGGGACTGGATGATCTCTAAGATCCCTTCCAACCCAAACTGTTCTACAAGTCTGTGTTAGATCTAGAGAGCTAAGATGTGAAGGCAGAGGTAAATAAAATCTTATGCAGATCTTGAGAGCCTGCAGCACTTTACCCTTCCTATGTATTTTGGACACCTTGGCAAGGCAGTGACAAGGAACTTTAAGCATCACCTGAGTCTGGCATCAAGCTGAGCGTGTGACCCTGCTCTAGGTGAACTTGCCTGCTTTTAGAATAGGCTGTCATGCTATAATGTGGTGTGAAATTAAACTGGTGGTGCCTGCTTTGGGATCCTTGTGCTGTGAGATGGGCATGGAGAAAACCTGGCATTCAGAAGCTCTCTGAAGTGGTAAGACAAGAGACAGCAAAGCACTAAACCCGTGCAAAGCATGGCTGCACCCCAGGTGGTGATGGATGTTGGGGCATGTGGATTGAGGGAGTGAAGGGCTGCAGCCCGAATGAGCCAATGGGGCTGGTGGCTACTGAGCAGGGCACACTGAAAGAGCTGTGACCTGGCTGAAAAGCCTTAAAGCACGCAGGTAGTGAAGGATGGAGGGAGCTGACTGACCATTGGCTTCAGTGTGCCCTTTTGTGGGCTGAAATCCTTCTGTCAGGGGTCAGGAAAGGGGCTGGGGATGTTTGGTTTACCTTAACATCCTGTGCCAGCTCCTTGGACCTTTCTGAGCCTATGCATCATGTTATTGCAGTGACCTTTCTCAAACCACTTTGAGCTGAGTATCGGCACAGTCTATCCATGCCTATATTGAAAATAGGATTACTTTCTACTTCCCACCTCAAGAGGCAAATTGGCATCCACAGAGCAGGATTTAAGCTGTTAAAGCATTCCTATTAGTTAGTCTCCTTTCCAGCAAACTCCCTGGAAGTAGAAAAGGCAGAAGAGGTAAGATGGCAAAGACTCTTATCTCTGGGGTGGGCTCTATCAGAGATGTTGGGGTTTATTTTGCCTCTAAGATAAGTATGCTCACCGATGGCCTGGGGGGAGCAGGGAATGGGGTTTAGCAAACAAAGCCCTGTGAAAAGGGAGAGCTAGAAATAGAAAGGCTGTGAATACAGAAGCCCCAGGCAGTGTCTTCCTCTGCCTGGAAGAAGCTTTCCCTATTACAAAGGCCACCGTCTGACTGGCTGCCTGATGGCCCCAAGCAGTCAGGGGAAAGCAAGGCCCTCAGAGAGGCATTTCTTTTCCTGAGACACAGTAAAGGCCTCTTCATAGAAGAAGCAGCAGGAGGGAAGGTGGGGAAGGGAGGAGGAGGGAAACAAAGGGAAGTCATAGCCAGAGCTTCTTTCGCTTTGTGAAAACAGTCTTGGTATTAACCCTTCAACAGTGCTTTGAGCATCATCAGGCCCTGAATGTCTGCTAATTAATCCACAGGCTTGTACAAGGGTGATAGGAGGATGAGAACTGAGTTCTGAAGGTTTTGGTGGGTTACCCATCACCACTCTACCCTTCCTTGCCCATCCCGGCAGGGAACAGTGTGGCTCTCAGCAGGAGCATCCCTGCAAAGGACAGGTCTGCTCATATAGAATACTTCAAAGCTGTTTCAACAAGACTGCAAGCTCTCCTAGCTTTGGGTTTTGCTGCAAATGGGAAACTTGCCTGCTGGTTTGAGCTTTCTGGTCTGGTCTGAATGAAACTGGCTTTTATTCAGTGAGAAACCACTCGGAACTTTACACAGGATCCAGTCTGAGCTATGATTTGCCAAAGAAATGTTTTGCTTGTGATTGATCCTTCTACTTAGAAGTGCTGGGATCAAGGAGGAAGTTCCTGGAACTTAATTTTGAATGGCTGAAAGGAGGTAAACCAGTTGGAAAGGAAAACTGGGGAAAATTTAGCAATATGAGGCTACCAAGTCTCACATGCCTGTGTTAAGGGTGTTAACGTTAAGTCCTGTCTGGAAAGAGTGTAACAAGTATTAAAGGGTTAAAGATCCCAAGGCAGAGCCCCCTCTGGGCTCTATAAGACGATGCTCAGTGTAGTTAAGTGTTGCTCACAGAGGATATTTTTCTGCTATCTTCTTATGTCACTTCTCATCTCGTTTTGGGTTGTTTTTATGGAATATTTTGTATTTGTTTGGGGAAAAAGCAATGGAAATTCATAGGAAACGTAAAAAATGCTGCTCTCAAACAACCTTCCAGGAATTCTCTTAACAAAAGGTTCTGATTTTTTTTTTTGCAGGTAGCAATAGTCAGTCTCACAGCCACAGCATGCTTGTGCTTATCTGTCAATACCCTTCAGCTGAATTATGTCAAGACCTGAAATAAGGGACATCTGAAGGGCATAAGAATATGTACCATGTCTGTTGAGGTGCCATAGAAGTTGCTAACCTGGGTTATTAATACCTAAAGCATATTAGAAATGTGTATGGCTGCTAAATAGAGTTAGAGCTTCTCAGGGTGATGGGGTTGTTGAGGAAGGGTTAAGCAGAAACAATGGGATAAACTGGGAAAGGGGAAACATAAGCTGAATACCAGGAAGACATTTCTTCACACTAAGGTCACTTGGGCTGCAAGAAGGGGAAGTGGCAGCTCACCCAGGCTGCCTTCTCCAGGCGCGCAGGATGGCTGCAGGGTTGGGGATGCAGAGGGAAAAGGGTTGGGGTTTTAAGGAGATGCAGGCTGCCTGGCTTGTGTTTTCTGCCTCTGGGTGCTTTGGAGCAGCTGAAAAAGTAAACGTCCTAATGCTTGTCCTCCCTGAGGGCTTTTACTGCAGCCAAGCACCAGGGTTGGGATCTGAAATAAGAAAGAAGGAAAACCAGGGAGTGAGTAAGGAAAAGGAGTGGCCTTAAAGGAATCCATAGGAATTTTTCCTGAATAGATACAACCATTGCCCAGAAGTATCTGCAAAGAGAGGTGTGAAAGGGACAGCTCTGACCATGAATCAGGCTGATTTGGGATCCCTGTGGGGCAGAGCAGGATGGCGGGCTGGGCTTGTGCTCGGACTTGGCACTATCATGCCACTACTGCCTATGGCAGTTTCTCTGTAACATTTTCCTACAACCCCTGTCCCGGACAGGTCAGTACATCTGATGAAATTGTGCCCCTCTGCAGCCTGATTTTCTGCTGTGGTGGATGCAATATGTGTTGATGTATAACTAGAGAACCATAGGCCACAATGAGGGTATGCAGAGATAAGCTGTAGTATCACGGTATCACAGTATGCTAGAGATTGGAAGAGACCTCAAAAGATATGACCGAGTTGGAGCAACCCAACTAAAGTGGATCTAGTTATAAGGTACATAGAATGAGTGTAGGATTTTGGAAGAATTATTTTCTTCATTTTGTTTCTGCAGGTATTTAGCCCTTTGTGCTGAAGACAGTTTATGATAACGTGAGGAAAAAGACAATGAAGCTTCAATGAGACACTGGGATAGGCCCTAGCTTTTCTATATTGCACCTTGACACAAACAATAACTTTGGAAAACTGATTTTCCTCTTGCTATTAAAGTTGCTGCACACACCTGGTTTCCTTGCTGGAAATCTTCCTCCTCCTTGGAGGTACTCTTGGATTTCCTCTCCATGTTGTACTAATTCTGCTTGGGTGAGACAGAACTTGCTTTGCTTTCAACAGCAGAGGAAATACACCAAACACTGTTAATACTGGGATGCTATAGGCTTGATCTGTAAGTGAGTTGGGTGGCTACAAGATGCTTTGGGGGCTGCCTGGAGATGCTCAAGAAGAGTAAGCATGGATAGGAAATACCTACCCAAACAGAACTAAGAGCAGAGACCTAAAGTGTAATTGTCGGATGAGCAAGGGTGGAAAAGCCTTTTTTTTACATTGCAGAACGTTTAAAGCCTTGACTTACACTGCTGTGAAAGCCCCCAGTGGCATTTGTAGGGAGAGAGAGCCCTAGGAAAGGGGGTTGAATATCTTCAATGAGAATGGCCATCAGGGTGGAGAACTCTCATGAAACACAGAGGCCAGTTCCTAAACCTGGTGGAAATGATCTCTGGGGCCCTGTGAGAGGGTTTTATTTTGCTTATCTCCCCTTTTTAAATTGGAGCAAAGTTGTTTCCTTCTCCTCAAACCACCAGACTTGAAGCTCCAATCTGGCTTGCTCCCACACTGACTTCAGTGTGTGAGCTGCATTTAGCCTTTGGCCCTAAACTCCATGGTAGTGGAGACACCTGACTTTAGGGTTTGGCAAGCCTGTATGAATGCACACTCACAATGCAGCCGTGGAAAGTGGGGAGGAGAAGCTGCTGCAACCTTGTGTTTTGGCCTTCCAAGTTCTGCTGATTCAAACACAGCTCAGTTTGGCTTAACTCTATCGTAGCAAAAGCATCTGTGCACCAGCATGGTAAATGGTGGTGTGGGTTTTGGCCAAGCTTCATTATGCAATAGGAAACAAGACGCTGTATCTGAAAGCAAGAGTTCAGGTCTTCAGAGGTCCTGCTATAGACTCTTGCTCTGGGTGGAAGCAGCTCTGAGTTTCCTGCGTGGTGTGGTGAAAGAGCCCAGCCAGAAGCAGTGCACTGAAAGCTGTGGGGCAGAGATAGTGCTCAATGTTCTCCATGCTGGCATAAGACCTTCAACAGTTGTTGATCTTTGGGTAACTGGTTGAAGGAAATGGACTTCTTGCACTGCAAGCAGGATGAGCTTACGTGCTTTCATGGAGAGCTAAGTTTGCTTGGGAGGCTGGGTTGGACTGAAGTCTCCCTCTGCCACAGACTTTCAGTATGACCACAACCAAATCACTTAATTTCTGGCCCTGCTGAATTCAGTGACAGAACTGGGACTTCAACAGGATGGGAATTCAGCTAAATAGGAAAGAAGAAAACCCCAGCCCACACCACCAAAACTGTGTATTCGATTCCTCATAGGAAATGACTTCTGTTGTTGGACCCAACTTCTATACAAGCCGGTGTCTCTGTCGTCAGACAGCAGTGGGAGATTGGTGATAAGGACATAAAGAACAAGGCACAGGTGGGACAATGGTTCCTAAAGTTCTTTTTCCTGTGATTGTCTTAGCAAATCCAGCATTTGATTCATTCTGTTCTGTCTCTTCTTGGTTATCTCTTTGCTCCTGCTGAAAACCATTTGACAAGCAGCAAGGCCAACATGGTGCTTCAAGCTTCCTCATGACCTCTGCCTGTCTTCCAGCATGGTGAGCAGCGTTATCACAAGCTCCCTGGGCTTTGAATAGGATGCTTTCAGAACAAGCCCTGGGAATATTTAAAGCAGCACACAGGAGGGTTATTTTCCTCTGCATTGACATTCCTGTGTTATCAACCTCCAGAGCTTGTTGCTTGCGTAAAGAGAGCTGTGAACAGTCCAGGCATGTGATGTTCCTCTCCCTTAACTCTGTCTCTTATCAGCGTACATGAGGCTGCTGTGTCTTGTGGAGAGCTTTTCCATTGCCATTAGCAGCTTGTTTCTGCTCCTAAAGCTGCTTTTTGTTTTACATAAATCCTGCCTGTTCCCTTCCCCAAGGTACTCATCCGTCTCTAACTGCAGCTACCTCATTTTCTTTCAAATCCCTTTTGCCCTGCCTGCTGCAGCAAGCCCAGGGCAAGGCTATTCCCTCTTGTTCCAGGGACGCTTGAGCAGTGTCCTTCCCCACCTAATAGTTTTGGAAAGTCTTCTCTGAGGCAGTGACAGCAGTAAGTACATGCTTCAGAGGGTGGTGGTGCAGGGAGCAGCTCCCTGCAGACAAAAGCCAACCCCATGAACACAGCAACAGCGTAGTGGCGAGTGAAACTAAAGCATATGCAATAAGCAGGTATAAAAACACAGGTAGATAGCTCTAGGGAATTATGTCTTTACAGGACACAGGATCAAGCAATGACTTCAAGGGTCGGACTGTGCCTTGCACATCAGTTGGAGCTTGCTTACCACCATGGGGACCACTGGGATATGTGGTACTGCTTGGAGAGCCTGACCCCTGAAGGAATCCTTTGCAGAGGCTGATGAAGACAGCCAGGCCATGAAACCTCAACAAGAACCTTTGGTATTTGTTTGAGAGATTAGATAAGCTGACAGAAATGCAGAAGACAATTGTTTACACACACACACACAGACACACAGACACTCACACCATGAAGAACGTGCTTTTCCCAAAATAGCTGCTTACTCTTTATTTATAGCCTTTTTCCCTTTCCTTCTTCTGAGATGAAGCAGAACATTTGCAAAAGGGGCAAGGAGATCTGATGATGAATAACCATTTCTTGTGCAGACCAAAGCCGTCATTAGACCTGCCAGCAGGGATAGATGTCTGGGTCTAGTGGAGCACCAGAATTAGCAAGTATCATTTAACTGTCTGAAGTCTTTATCTAACAGAGGACGATCTCCTAGAAGTTCAGTGTTTTGGGGTTTTTCCAAACCATGTCAATGATAATGGGCCTGATTTATTCAGTCTAAAAAGTTTCACAGGAAGTAATCAAAGGCTTAGATTGTGCCTGAGCTACAACCTACTCATTTTGGCTCCTGCTCCCATCCCCTTGATCACCTCCCAGCCAACAAAGAATGTATAATGCTGACACTGGGGGAGGTAGGGTTATGAGGCCATCTGAATTTTACAGAGGGAGGAACCACGAGATGCTGAGTTCTGCTGAAAACCCTCACAAAAGGTTTTCCTTAGGCCTCTGTGGGTCTGTGCCTAAGGTGCTGACCCAAGATCACTCAGACAATTTTGGGCAGAGCAGAGAAGTGACCATGCTGCATTGCCAGGTCATCTCTATGTGCTGCTCTGAGACCAGAGTATGGACCTGTGGAAGTCTTGCTTCCTGGCAGGACATCTTCCTTCCTCCATCTGGGGTCACAAGGCTATTGTTTTGCATAAAGGACTCTGCAGCCGGCAGGTAAGGGCTGCCCCAGATGCTAAACCTTGTCTGGTTTAGTGCTGCAGCGTTTGTCTCTGGTTGCCTTAAGGTAATCCTGTGTTCTGCTCCAGTGTTGCTATCACATCTCTTTGTGGCGGAAGTGCTTGTGGTGTCCTGAGTGCTGGACTGTGGCCTCAGAGGATGATGAAGGAAGAGGAGGAGGCTGGCTACAAAGGAGAAGCCTTGCTCTGTGCAGGGCCTGTAAAACCTTTGGCAAATGCCACCACCAGGAAGAGCATCATGGGAGGAAGGGCACGGCTGTTTTAATGAATCTTATGAATGTGTTCTTTACCTATGTGTGCATTCATTTTTCTAGTCTCATAGAGTGCAGAACTAAACTTTGAACAAAAATAGCTATCTACTTACATAACATTCTTGCTTGTAAAGCTCCACTGCTGAAGCTCTCCAGAGGCTCCTGGAGCAGAGAACTGTCAATCACATCAAAGCCATGACTCGGGTGCATACGCACATCTTGGTAACGTAAAGTCAAGATTTGCAGTGTTTACATAGGATGCTCTGTACAAGGCGTGTGATGGCAAACACAAAGCAGCATCTGAGCTCTGCTGACACAAAGATGAGGTAGGGCATTGGCAACAGTGGAGAGATGCACATGGGGCAGGGCTTCCCCTTTCTTCCCCCTCTCCGTGGCTGCACAGGGGGTAGGAAGGATGAAGGAAGGGTTTTCATTCTATGGGTTGCTGGTTTTCATTTTGCTTAGGTCTTCCTGAACAGGAGGCAGTCCAAATGCAGAGCCCGTGCTCTCTGTTGCCTTACGGTGGGAGCTGCTGGTCATCTGATACAGCTCAGTTTTAGTGTCCACTGCTGTGATTAATTGTCCTAGACAAGCAGCTCCCAGAGCTGAAGAGATTTGGAGTCAGAGCTCTCTCCTTGACCCTCTGCTTAGGACAGAGGCATACTCATGCTGGGGGGAAAGTTGCCCGGTCACAGCCAGGGCTTCAATTATTCCAGTGATAAACACGGGAGTCTAGAGTCAAGGGTGTTCATTCTTTCCATTTGCACTTTAAACATGCGTGGTTAGAGATTACAAATGTGTCATCCTTTCTTCATCCTGTTTTCCCTTGGCAGCCATGCCGTACGTGGATGAGCCCGGGCAAGCAGTTGATACCAGTTTGTTTGCCAAAAGTAACATTACGCTGTGATAGCTCGTGTTGACTCCAAAGGACTGATTCTGCTGAACATGCTTATTTTCCTTAGGCACCAAGGTGGAATGGGTTTCGGTTAAAAATAACCGACCTCCCCGTGCTGAGCAGAAGAGTTTCTTCCTGGGAAGCCATTTTTAACCACAGATGGTCACCAGATGCGGTGGTTATCAAGGAGATGAAAGCTGGAAGCCCACCATAGAGGATGAGCTGAATTCTTTCCTCTTGCTATCAGACCTTCTCAAGTGGAACAATTTCTTGGTCATCCTCTGGTGTGAGGGGAAATGTCTGCTTCAGGGGGATTATGTGGGAACCATTGGGTCAGTAAGAGACGTGCGGTGGTGGGCGCGCGTGTGCGTGCTTAGGAACAAACATTTACTGCGACGCTGATGGATTCTGAGAAAGCCAGGGCTGTCCGCTGTGTCTTGAAATAGCTCATGAAAACAGGCAGCCTTACACTGCTTCCGTGCTCTGTGATGGAGATATGCAGCCCTGAAGCATAATTTGTTATGCAATTTATCAAAATAGCTATCCTCCGGGGGCTTTAGTGCCTTAGCGAGAAGAGACGAGATAAAACTAGGGACTTGCTTTCTTTAGTGAGATAAATAGTAAATTGTTTTCTGAATGCCTTGGAGTGATTTTATTGGAAGTCTTATTTGACCTCAGAATACAGTGGTGCATTTATAGAAGAGCTATTTTTATCTCTGCTATGTGGAGGGTGGTGCTAAAACATCCATATTGTTAGTGACCATGAAAAGAGTGTCTTCCAGTTCCCTGTCTTTCCAACAACATTAGTTTTGGATGCTGTTGTCGATCAGGTCTCTCCTATGTTTCTCAGGGGCATGCGCTCATGTCACGCATAAGGATGAACATATATGGTCTATGGTTATATGTGTCAGGGAGAAAGCCTAGTCTAGCAGATTGAGCAGTAGATTTGCTTTCTACACTAGTTTTCTTTAGTACATCGGACGAGGTGTACTGCTTACCCACAGACTGTGCTCTGACACCAACATGTGGGGAGCCCTTCCTTGTGTCCCAGGTGTGCTGTGATGACAGGATCCATAGCTGCTTTGAAGGTGCTATCAGGCAGTCCTTATCCCTCATACAGCAAGGCTGAGCTCCATTGCATGCAGGTACCAATGACTTGCTTCCCGCTTGCTTTGGGCTGGGCCACCAGCCTGTCATATCTCATGCTGGCAGTTTCTACCTCCGGCTGCTTATTTACTTTATAGTTTAGAGAAGTTCAGGCAATTCTGAACATACAGTGAAAACTCAGTGTTTTTTTTTCCCCAGTGAAAATTCTGGCAAGCTTCTGCAGTAGCTCTAATACTCATAGAGCTGGGAAAGATGAAATGTGTTGAGCCTGGTCTGTTTGCCAGGTTATGCTATGTCAAACCTTGGGGGGAGGAAGTATTTTGCATATGCTCATGTGGGTTTTACAGAGAAATTCCCAGAAGATTTTATATGCTTTAAGCAAGTCCAAGCCAGGGTCTGAGTAAGACTTTGGCAGCTGGCAGGTCTGTGTCCAAATAGTTGAGTTGGAGGCAAGAAGGCTTTCTTCCGGTGCTGTTAAGTGTTCGCTCTCTTAATGCACAAAGATCAAACAAAACATTCCTGAGAATATTAATAGACCCGTCCTGGGAGCAGAGCCTGAGTGTGGTACAGCAAAAAGGCAAGTGGAGGGGCGTCAAATGAAACCCTGAGTTCGCTTTCGGTGAGTGATCGTGATCCAGAACAGGAACTGAATGTGGGAGGGGGAAATAGTCTGCAGTCATGTAGTTGATGATTATGTGGTACTACCTACACAGGGAGTTAAGGAGCACACTTCCGAGCGCTCCACTTCATAGCCTAGGCAAAAGGAGTTGTCTTTCAGCGTGGGCTGCTATGAATAGCAAGGCGTTCGCATCCCCCCGAGATGTGTATGATCCATCCTCTTTAGGGTGGCGTTTGTATTTTAGTGGATATGGCAATTTGTCTGCATATACAAGTACAGGTGCATGCATCTGTAAAATCTGGCCCTACCTCTGTGTGTGCAAGAGGAGGGTGTCCGAGTAGGTTTGTACCTCCACAGAGCTCAGTATATGTGTGTTGTACCCTCCTCCACTCTGTGTTGAGTCTTCATGAAGACCTCTGTTTTGTCCGAGGCTCGCTGAAGTTGCTTAAATCCATTCTATAAGCTCCCTTGATACCTCACTGCCAGAGAAAACAAACCCCAAAGGCCTTTGGAAGCTCTTACTGAGCACTGACTCCTGTACTTTTTCTCTAATGATGCACAATTTGCTATTTCCGGGATCCAAGGAGGATTTGTTATTGACTTTTAGAGGACCCAGGTGTTGCTGCTGGTGTTTAACATCACTGCTGTAGCTGTGCAACCTGCTATCTCTGCCTAGGCAGGCTGTAGGAATAAAGTGAAGCCATTTACCCCCAAGGCTTTTCCCCACCCTTTCAGCACTCCGCTGTGTCTGGGAGTACTCTCTGTCCATACACAATGGTCTTTCTTAAGATATGCAAAGCATTGAAGGAGGACAGTTTCATGCAAAGGCAAGTCCCGGCCCCGATCTGATCCCTAGCACTTCACTGCAAACAGGAGAACAGAACTAGCATGGAAATATAATTCCCTTACCCTCACTTTCCCTTCCTTGCCCTCCCCTCAGTGCTTGCAGGAGAGGGGCTAGCCAAGGGCCAGGTACCATCACAAGTGGCACGTGATGCACAACCAGCAGCATCTTTATTTAAAGCTCCACATAGCCAAATGCTCTTTTCTCAGCAGTGGAAAGGCAGATACGTGCTGAGTCTTGTTTATACCCACAATGCCATGCACATGTTCCTAACTTTTTATAGAAACACTCTTGATTCTCTGGGTGTGGGTTCGTTTTGCTGTTGGTTTTTTTATCTGTGGGGACTTATCCCACCAGTTGGTCTAATCAGCTCCCAAAATTGAGTGATCATGGGAAGCTGTGCAGTGAAAATAACTCGTGAGAACCAGATAGAAAAATGCTCAGGACATCCAGGCTATTAATAAAAGTGAGTGTTGCAGAGCCCTGTACAAGCCTGCTGCATCAAGAAGGCAGGAGCAGCCACCCAAACTGTTTTGCCTCTTCCGGGTCATGTTGAAGTTGCGATGTTTTGGCATTCATTTTGAGCAAGAGGAGATGGTACAAACCTGCTCCAGGGGCATGGCTGCAGCACAGCCTCCCTGAAACACGACGGAACATCCCATGGCACCTTTCCTATGGAAGCAGCAGGCTCACGGGTGATTGTGGCCTGGCTACACCTGCAGTTGGCTTTGGACAATCTCACCTTACCACATGTCTGGGTTTCTTCCATTCTTACCCATGACTCTATCCATGCTCCTTTAATGCAGTGCCAAGCTTCCTGCTTCTTCATAAAGCACTTGCAGCATCTATTTCCAGTCTTTGCACTATGGGAGCAATAGCTAACCCCTCTGTAATGTTTTCCATTGCATATTTAACTTTGCATGCATGGTTTGTCATTGCCAGAGCTTTTATTTTCCATTCTGCAGCCTGACAAATGCGTGCATGAGGTACATCTTTAGTGAAGGAACCCCTTCAGAGTGATGCCTTCTCCACCAGCACATGAACAAACTGCTGTGCTTCCGACAGAGCGCTGCTATAAATACAGGAAGAGCCTGTTTTACTGTGATCCACGTCTTCCAGTCAGATCCCAACCCCCTCAGTGTTGTGCTGATGCCAAATCAGCAAATGCTCAGGGAAACAGGATAGGCCACAGCTGTAAACCAGCAATGGCATCTTGTGCATTGGCTTGTTTGGGGTGGGTTTTTTTTTAGTGTAAAAGACTGGAGTGGTGCAACACTGAAATTGCATTGTCGAAGATGATAAATGGAGCAGACAAATATAGCTGGGCATATGCTGAGTGTGGATATAGGTTTTTAATTTCCCTTCTTCAAACCAAGACCTATAATAAGATGTTTCCTGACTTGAGTGTGAGTGTTTTTAATAGCTTTGTCTTTTTTTTTTCTAGCTGGATACTTTTGGATGTGGATGTGGCTGTACTGGCCAAGCACTGCACAGTAGATGCAATGAATATTGTTTTCCAGCTCTGAGCTGAGAGTACAGTAGGTGCTATAAACTGTCCTTCATGTCCACTCTGTCAACGGGTGAGCACATTAGTACTCTTTCTTTGCAAGCTGAAGCAGCATCGGAGATGGCAAAGGAAAGAGGTTTTGCTTGCAAGAGAATGCATGTTTCTCCTCAGCTGGATGGCAGCATCAGAGCGAGGGAAGGTGTGCTTTTGTTTTGTTTGCCTCTGCAGTCATAACAGGCAGTGGGTTTGGTCCTTGATCTTCTCCCTCACTGATCCAAACTTCTGGCTCCTGTATGGGCACCAGCAGATCCCATGGCCATGCAGCAAACAGGAGCTGATGGAGGATGAAGTGGCAGGAGGAGCTGGTAAACAGATAACTTCACCCAGCGTCATGCATACACACACACACAGCAGCAGCTATTCCATGGACTTGCCTGAAACTGCTCTCCATGTAGCTTTGCTGAGTCCTTCATCTCTTAAGATGAACTAATTCAGATTTATGTTCACCATCCCTGTCGCATGATGCAAAGGCAGGATGCCCAGAGTCACGCTGTGCAGCAGCACGGGGCCCTGGCTGCTGCTGGCCGGGTTTCTTCATTGTTGTAAGAACCACCTATGGATAAGTAGGGCCTCAGGGCTGGAGTCAGTCATGTGTGGTGACTGCTTCTTGCACTGGTCTCTAAAGTACCGGCCAGTGGAGGCAGATTATTAGAAGCCCTATGAAATGCGTGTGCTCAAAACCACATCTTCAGACATCATTTGAATAATGAAGCTCAGCTTTCACTTAAACAGAAGCCTTAGCATCTTTGTCCTAGGTGGTGCAGAAACCTGAAGGTGTATCCAAGGTATGTTCTTGTTTTAACCCACAAGATTCATTTGTAAAGCCATGGTCATGGCTGGGAGAAGCCTGAATTGCAGCCACTTTCAGACTGGAGCCAGTTCCTGTGTCTCAGGTAGGACATTTTGAAGCCTCTTGCATAATACTTGTACTTCAATTTGATATGAGTCAGGGTTGTACTGATATAAGAAAGGCAAACATTATACTAGGAATGTGGTCTACAAGAAAAGATCCAGCTAGGCATACCTATGGACACTGAAAGAAGAGAAAGCTGAGGGAAGGGCACATCTCTAGGGCACAACAGGCCATCTGAGGGAGTGACGCGTTTCTGCTGTCATACTAAGACACTTGCATCCCACCTCTGTGGGATCAAGTACAGGACATCCCTGACTGAAAAGGGACAGCGAAGCAGCCATGGAGCATTAGCCCCTGCTCTGACAGACTTTAGTGGGGAAATGTTTTACTACTTTCATATCTCTGCTCCTCATTTCAGGAATGGGAGCATCACCATCGTTCTGCCTTGTGCATGTTAGCAGACCAAGTAATCAGATGTTATAACTTCAGAGCCATGTCAGTCCTGATACGCAAGTTGATAGCTCCAAGTGGATGCAGAGTCAGGAGTCAGCAGTGGCTTTAGGAAAATCTGAGCCTGAGTCTGGGTGAAGGACACCATCCTGATCAGCATCTTCTGCAGGCAATAACGCATGCTCCCCCTGGACCTCTGAAGCTGTTAACAGGGGGCAGGGGAGGAAAACAGCTCTGATGAGCTCTGATCCCAGCTCTGATGAGCTGAGCCCTAATGGGCCCTCTTGGCAGGGGCTGTGTGCAGGGTAGTATGTCTGGAATCAGCTTTACAAAGGGGTGTTGTCTCCCTCTTCCCTCTGTATCCAGCTGGGCCGTGCTCAGCTGCTGGGAACAACTGCAGGGGCAGCTGCGCCGATGAGGAGCACACTCCTTTTGCTTGGCTTTGGCTGGGGCTGCCCTGCTCCCAGTCCCATGGCTGTGCTGCCATCCCTGAGACTCTCAGCTTCACTGCTTGCTCTTTAGGACTGGATGCAAACATGGCCCCAAGTGCCTACACTGCTGCTAGAGACTTTCATAGAATCCCAGACTGGTGTGGGTTGGAAGGGACCTTAAAGCTCATCCAATTCCAACCCTCTGCCACAGGCAGGGACACCTTCCACTAGAGCACGTTGCTCCAAGCCCCGTCCAACCTGGCTTTGAGCACTGCCAGGGATGGGGCAGCCACAGCTTCTCAACATAGCCATGGATGTTGTGTTCCCTTTGTCCAACAGCAATTGCTTCCCAGGCTTTACCACACATCCATGTGTCCTTTTGCAACAGCAAACCAGGGCTCAGGGGGTCATGCATGTCTCCCCGGTCATGTAGTAAACTCATGGGTGTCTCTGTCCACATAGTCTGCATTGGGCCCCTCTCTCTTCCTATGGCTGTGGTGCAAACAAGAGCTGAGATTGCGTGACACGTGCCAAGTAACGCAGAGATACCTCTGTTTTGGGATGCTGCTTAGGAAATTCTTCCCGTTCAAACCAACCCACAGCTGGCTGCTTTTCTCCTGTGCTGGCTTGTGCCGAGCAATCACTTCCCACTCTTCTTGATTCCAGCTTTGCAGATGTGCACAGACACTTCACACCAGCCTGAGATCAAGCTGATGCAATGAGACCATCGGGCTGGTGAAAGTCTACACACAAGGCGTCTTACTTAAACCATAATTACCCTTGTGGTTACTTCCATTGCTGCCACAGCATTGTCCCTCTCAGATGTCAATCGCCACCTTCCCCCAGGGGACATTTATGTTTTCCAAGAGGTTGCAAAGCTTTGCTCACAGGCCATGGAAGTGTGACATAGCACATAAACATCCATAAACCCTTCTGATGCTGACACCAAGCAAGATCAAAGCTTGCTGGTGACAGTTCAGCGTGGCACAAGGCAGGGTACTCTGCACAGTGCCTCACATGCCCAAAGGGAGATACGAGGTGTTTTCCCTGTCCTTGGAGTAAGTTGCATTGGTAGCAACATCTTTCATCTCAAGCCATGATAAGAGAAGGGGTTAATTCACCACTGACACCAAGTGCTGAAGTGTTTTATCTGGAGTACCGGTCAGTAATACACTTTAGACAGAGAGATACTATATAAAATGGAGAGGTGACCCATGGAGGTCTGGATAGGTGTAATTAGCTCTGCTGTCACATAGGAATGAGCATGTTTGTACAGATTATGTCCGATTTCTAGCAACACCTGCTCATTTGCTTTAACCAGATTTCTCAAAGAGGGACTAATTAGCACTTCCTTGGAAGCCCAGCAATGGCTTTACCTCTTGATCGGTATTCCTTCTGCTGGAAGGCAAATTAGTTACTATACCAGGGAAAGCTGATGGAAGCAGGAAACCATCTTCATGCCTAAAATTAAAGGAAAAGGCAGAGCTCACTAGACCTGGACTTCCTTTCTCATGCAAGGGGTGAGGGCTGTGTGGTGAGTTTCCTTCTCTGCATCCTTGAATGAAAATGCTGTTTTGGATCTATATGATTTCTGAGGGTGAGGGCTATGTGGTACTGCTTCCCCAGGGTTTGAGCCCAGCAGCTCAGGGCAGTGCTTGTGCCACCCCAACAGTGGCACACGGTGGCTTGGGAATGAAGGGACCCCCTTTAGTGTCGATGCTGGAGTCTTCTTCCGAGTGACCCTGTGCCAATGGGGTGGACAAGGCTCCCTCTTTTCTTCAGCAGGTATAACCATGAGCAAGGCTTTATCTGACCATATTAGCACTTACTACAGTTGGGGAGCTGATGGTGTTCATCGATGCTCTGTTTGTAGAGCACCAGACTAGCCAACCCCTTCCTAAAGAGGTGGATTATGATGAAGTTCATGAAGGCTCCCAGTATCCTGGGGTGAGCGTGCCAAGGCACAGGGCACATGTAACTGACTAGGACAGTTCTCCCAGCCCTTCATCCTGCTACTAACCACCAGCACTGCTGAAGCTTTATAGCTAAAGCAACCCTTTAGAAAACCTGCTTTCCTCTCCTGCATGAAGGGATGAGGTGTAGCCATCTAACCCGGCCGTCCCACACCCTCGCCTCAATGTGGGAGGTGCGGATAACCCTTCTTGTTCCATGACGCATTCTTGGGGGTGTTTCTGTTTTCTTTCAACACCCTTATCCATTAAATCAGTCTTCTCTTGACAGCTGCTGTAGGTGGCTTCTACAGCACTGCAGGCTTTATGAACAGATAGACGCATTTTGGGGCAGTGATTTGTACTAAATCAACTCCCTTGAGTCTTCTTTGCCACACACAGAGCACAAGGTGAGGAGACATGGCCAGTCCTACCTTCCCCTTGTTTGTGACCCTGCAACCACACACTGAGTCTGTTAGCTTGTTTTTTGGCTGTAAACCTATCTTCCAGGCCTCTATCCAAACTGGCTTTGACCATCTCAAAAGATGGAAACTGCTGTATCCTTTGGTGTTTGACTCTCAAGTTTGCACTGCTCATGTCTTTCTTTCTTAGTTTGTCCAGCTTCAGCCTACTCATTTTACTTTTTGTTCTCCCTTTTTCTGACGATGGAGCCTTTCAGTGCCTGGATTTATGTGCTCATGCACTGTAACTGAATCCACTGTCACAACAAGATAGATGGCTCTTCAGGTGCCTCCTTGTCAGTGTCTTCTCCAGCTCTCAAGCTGCTTTTGTGGCCTGGTTCTGTCCTCTTCTCACTTTTACTGTGCCTTTTGGCAAGCATATGCACCAGGACATGGATGATACGTTCTAGTTCCAGGGTAAAAACTCTTCTGAACGCATATATAAGGATCTTCCCTATACCTTCTTCCCTGACTTCCTCTCCTACTTGTATCACACTGAACTCTAAAACAGTAAAAGGGGCAGAAAAGTGCATAATGCCAAAACTTGTGTAAAGAAACTATTTGGGTGGAGGGGCTGTGCAGTGAAACATCTGGCAGTGCTGACTGCAGGCCAAGGTAGAGAGGGAACAGGACCAACAGCCTGGCAGCTCCTACATATCTGTGTTTGTTGTCACGTCCCTTGAGGGGAGAGGTGTGTGACCTTCCAGAGAACAGAAATCCCAATTCCCCAACTGACCTAGTTTAGTTTCGAGCATCGCTTAACACGCCTTATAATATTTTATAGACTCACTTCTGTAACTCAACATCAAGCTAGTATTTAATGCAATGATCCCCAGTAGGGACCTTAGGAGAGCTAATTGTACATGCTCTGGGGGTGGGGTGGGGGAAAGCATCCACAAATGCTTTCAATAATGAATTTTGCTTCTCTTTTTAGCTTTGGTTGTGGTTGCAATTCTGCAGGTGCTCATCAGTAGTGACACTGATGAAATGTCTGGGGCTGATGCGAGCCGCTATCAGAATCAGGTCCATAGAAGTAATATTTTAGTTTTCCTATGATCATTTTGCCAGCTGGGACCTTATTTTAATGGCATCTATGCAAAACAGTTCATGAAGGAGACTTCTAAGGGAGGGGTTGGGGGAATTCGAGGGTGTCCATTCATCAGTGGGTCTGGGAGTTTGGGTATATTTCCAGGCTTGAGGTCTCCCTATGGAGCTCTGTCCACATCATCATCAGCAGGAGGCTGAGCCCATGGGTCAGGCAGCACTGGAAGGCCCCCTTTGAGAGAGGTTCCTTATTTATTATGTTTTCCTGCTTTGCTTCTCAGCACAAAACTTGCAAAGTAAATATGACCCCTTGAGTTTTGGTGACCACCTGAATGCTTTGTAAAAACGTGATGACGCATCAATGTATTATTATATTGTTATATTATTATATAATTATTTATATTCTTTATTATATGTCTGCTATCTGAGCAGACCTGTGTTACAGCAGACCCCAGGAAGACTCACAAAAAATCACATGAAGTTGCCCATCATGACTTTGTACTGGGGAACTGAGAATAAAAGGGAGCAAATTTCACCCTCCAGGACCCAGAGGACAAAGAAACTTAAGGAACCCCTGAGTACTGTTGATGGTATGAAGTGCAGGAGGACCTGGGAGCGCTGCTTGTCGTCCCATGGAGGCTTTTTAGCGTGCCAATCACCGCGGAATGAGGACAAATTCCAGTACAGGCTGATGAGTAGTCACTTTTCCTGCTGCTGCTGAAGCCACTGGAAAAATCTGATTGATCCAGGATGTCACGTCAGAGCCTAATTCCCCTTTCTGCAAGCACCCATATGCTCGTGTTCAGTGCTTAATAAAAGGTAAGCTCCAGTCAATGGGAAAATGTGCTTAAGAGCTTTATTTGCTTTCTTAAGTGCTTTGCTGGGTCTGGCCCCATGCAATGTGTCAAGCACCTATTAGTCTCATCTTTTATTGCTGTAATATAGATAGCTCCTTGGAAATAACCCTTTCAACACAAAGGTGGGGTGTTTTTCTTTGAGGGGAAGCCTCCCTGTGCATATGCACTTACTAATAATGACAAGTGTTTGGGTATGTTTTGGCTTTCTGCTCTGAGGAAATAAAGGGAGGGAAACATGATGGTTTTGGAGCAGGTACAAAGCTTTCAGTCGCCTGGCTCGGGTGAAGCTGCAGAAAGCATTTCTCTTTGTGTTGCAGGGCCTGGCAGCCCAGCAAGATAATAAAAGATAAAGCAAACTGTACGACAATGGAAAATGCTGAGCTCCCTGAGTAATTACAGTTGTGTAAGACGGTCGCATGTCTTGCAAGGCTTATTAATACAGTCACGTTTGCGTTATATAAGGGGTAATTACAGTGCAGCCTGCTCACCACTGATGACACCCTTTGCCTGGCGTTCACAGCAGCGGGTCCACAGCCAGGCTGCAAAGGTGGCTCAAGGGGCAGTGAATGCCAGGGAAAGGAGAGGCAGGATGGCCAAGGCTGTGGGACCATCACCATGCTGTGGCTTTGGACAAACCCCAGACAAATCACCCTGGAGACCATGTTGGCATGGGCAGGGGGGTGCCTTATCCTCCTGCTGTGCCACAGCCACCAAACTTTGCCTTTTGGGGTCTGGAGAATGCGGAGTTAGCAGCAGCTCTCAGTAGAGAGTTAAATGGCCATAGGTTACAGATTGGTGCTCCTGAAGAAGCTTTGCCAGGGTATCCTAAGGAAGCTGGGAGTCGAGGGATGTCTAACATAGAGGGAGGCCACTGCCTAAAGCCGCTGGAGACACCCTTAGCCCTAAGCAGACTGCACTGGTTTTGCCAGCCCTGCTCCATGTGGAAAAGCGCGTGAGCCTCGTGGGTACCACATGATGCTCTCAGGAGCATGGGGTCAGTGAAGAGCAGCTTCCTGAGGTGCAGAGCAGGCCCATCGCAATTCCCAAAGCCTGGTTTTGTTAACAATGAGGCACAAAAGATGGGAGTGGGCCTGGCTGTGGGTTTCTGGAAGCCCCACCTTGAAGATGAAGGGCAGCTTCACTCATTTGGTGCTGCACATGAAAGTGCACACAGAGGGGGGCTGAAGTGATGCCTTACTTGTGTGGAGGTTGCAGTGGGCATTTTCCACTAGCTCCAACAGCAGGGAGAGTCAAAGTGCCTGGACCAAGGAGAAAGGAGTGTAAGCTCCCTGATGTCAGCTCCCATGAGTCCTTGAACCCCTGCTTTGCATTTTCTATTGCGTAAGGTACTTTTGATGCTGAAGAGGGGCTCAAGTGGAACCACGGAAGCTTGGTCTCCACAGGATGCTCCACTTTTTGGAGCACTGCGTTGTCTGCTTCTGGCAGGGCTTGCGAAGGAAACGCCACAAACCCATGTACAAGGCTGTGATGGATGCAGTGAGCACACCGTGTCCCTGTGTTCCTGATTATTTCTCTGTATTCCTGATTATTTCTCTGTATTCCTGGCTATTTCCCTGGACTCCTGTCCTTTTTGAGAGGATGCTTCTCAGGCAGCGGCAAAGGCAGCGCCTCTGAGGAGCTGGAGATAAGAGCACACATGAGAATGAGCTGGACCTACTGTTTTCTCCATGGAAACACAATTGGCACTCGGCTGTTAGGCCCAGCAAATCCAATTACAGCTGTAGACAGAAATGTGTTTAAAAAAACCCCAAACAAGCCAAGCTGGTGTAAATGAAACATTACGGTGTGCTTTAGAATTGTTGGGTTATTTCTTTGGTTTTTTTACACTCCCAGCTATGTACCGTACCCCTGGAGGGGTGTGCGTGTTGAGTGATGCTTCCCCGTGGTGCTGCTGCCCTCTGAAGCCGTGGTACACTGCCCCTGCGGTGGCAACCGCTGGCTGGTCCCAGCATTGATCTTTCCTAGGGCAGACAAATGACAGGGCTGGACAGGCAGCCAATGCTGAGCATCCAAAGAGTGAAGTGTTTCTAGAATACCCAAAACCTGAGCTCCTGGAGGCTTGTAGCCTTCCTCCCAGCTACTCCTGCCCCAACAGCCCTCCAGTGGCTGGAGAAATCCCTTCCAAATACACATTAGTGTTTCTTGCAATGCAGGGGACCC